CAGTTCCTATCTTACAAGAAATATGCAGTGATACCTCCATTCCTGTACCAGACAGGGTTCCTATTTGGTGTCCATATTTCCAGAAGAAATATCAGTATGTAATACATAGTGAAGGCAGAATAGCCATACTTTCAATTAAAGTTAAACAAACAACCATCTTCAATTGAATTGTAATCTTTTTAGCCATTTCATCCTACAGCAAAAACTGAGCTAAAATTATTATATTCTTTTCTGGTTTTGTTATTTAGCAATGTAACATTCAGACTTACTCACACATGATAGGGTGGTTGTAATTTATTTTAAGCAATAGACAGTAGTTAGAGAGTTTCCAGATGTGCTGCTCTATAGATAATGCAGTCAGCAAATAAAAATACAATGATAGTTGGAATGCTAATTTTTTCTCCAGAAAAAAAAAAATCAAAGATTTAGAGGCTCACATGATCAAAAAGCTGTTGCTTCAATTCCTGCCATATTGCCAACATTGACTTATCTTTGGGCTGCCACCAGATAAGAGTTTGAAAAGAAAAAGGAATATGTGATTTGTGAGATAAGAAATAAAACTGTCAGTTTTTTTCTTAAGAACATTTTGACATTTTCCTGGTCCTTAGAACACTACAAATTTAAGAATATGGCATCTGTGATTTAAAAGATGCCATAGTCTTCTGATTTTCTCTTGTCATCTAACAATTTTGACTAAATCATAGCAGTGAACAAGTCCTATGTCAGAAACTTCATTTCCAGAAAATGAGAGTGAACTGCTAAGTTGTAAAATACTATGTCTAAAGCTTTCATATTTCCCTGAAAATGTGGTTATTTGTGACATCAAAAATATTCACAGGAACTAACTAAACACAGAATTGTGATCATATAGAAGTGTTAATACTTTCAGATCATCTAGTCTTGCTTTTCAAATTACCCATAACAAGTGATCTTCAGACTTCTCATTGCAAACTTTTCCACTGGTAACTACAGAAAACATCAGTCTCCTTCAAAGGCAACTAAAAGTAATTATCATTGAGATCTGCACTTTGGGACAAGGTTTAATTAATTCTTCGATTTCCAGGACTGACAAAATTCTGTGTCTAAAGCAATTGTGTCCCTGAAATTCATTTATGCCTTTTTATGTTCTTTAGTAATGTTAAGGCTCTGAATGATACTTCTAAATATATTTTTACCTTTAATATGTATTTCATTCCCCTTAATTAAAAACAACATAACTCTTCTATCTCAACATTGGGTAAGAGCTACACACAGAGAATCTCCACATTTCTCATTTGAGGTAGACCTCCATTATTTGTCTTTAGATTGAGAATTCAAAGTGCCTGATTTTCATCATGCTCAAAGTTGATGCTGTAAGAAATTTATACAATTTGGTTCCCTGGAACAAGGATTTGGTCCTCCAGTAGGATGGAGATTTAGATCAATGCTTTACTGAACCGTCTTGCGAAAATTTCTTCAGTCTTTTTTGCCCATGTCCAACAAAAGAGACTAGCTCTATCTTTTTATATTATCTTTCTTTTGTGCTTTTTTTTGGTTGTTTTATTATCCTAAGGAAATATCCCTTTTCTGTTGTAATTTTGATGGAAAATACATTAGAAATGGTGGTTGAATTTGTTGACCTAGCATGCATAATTCTCTTTAACCATAATTTGGCTGAACTACAGTTTTTAAAAATCTGTGGGATTAAAAAAAAATTATGTGCTACGTTCTTTCAAAGTTCAAAAAGAAATAATCTGATACACAAAAGAAATTCCCAGTGTATCAATCTGTGTTAGTTAACTGATTGTGTCAATTTGTGTAAGAAATACGCAACTAAATTGGATCAGCATAGTTCTGGGTGTGGTCAAAGGGAGTTACTAAAAACAGAAGACCCACCCTAGGTGTGAATGGCACCAACCCATAGGCTTGCTGCCTGAATGGAATAAAAGGGAAAAGAGGAAGGAAGTTTCACTTCTGTTTCCTCAGATGAGCTCCAGTCTCCATTTTCACCTTGGATGTCCTTTCCTGGCTTCCAGGGAGACTCTTCACCCTTCCAGTGCAGATCCTTCAACCTCCTGATATAGACTTGGACAGGACTCTACAGTGAGCTCCAGCCTTTGGACCTTCAGATCTCTAGCGTGAAGACGGTGCCTTTTGGACTCTTCCACACTGGACTCTGCAGGCCGCCATTGTAAGCCTACCTTGTAAATCCTTATATATTTATATATGTTGCATTAAATCTGTTTCTCTACTGAGAACTGACTGATACACAATCTATAAAATGAAGTTCAATAAAATGAACAATATGAACTGTAATTTTTTAAATGGAGATTTTGAAATTCCTCATAATCTTTCAATAAGAATAATTATGTAGTAAGAAATACAGTAAATTTTTCTGAGTCTTTAAATGTTGGAAGTTCATGGATCATAATTATTATTAAAATCATTTATATATTATGTGATAGGAATATAATTTAGCAATTTAACATGTTGTATCAACTAAACTTTGTAAGTACTTTTTATCTATTATTACCCCAATTTTATAGAAGAAGATACTAATATTGAGGAGGTAATTCACTTGACTTACCAATAAAATTACAATAGAACCAGAATTCAAATAAGAGCAGTTCAAATGCATACTTTTATCACTGCATCATGCTCATTATTATACAAGTTGCTTTGTAAATAAATGATTTTTTAAGTGAATCTATTCCAAATTTTCCTTGACTTACACCTCAAATCTTCAGTAGTCCCTGAGCTCTGAAGTCAGATGTGCCAGGGTCTGAATCTACTATGTTATTTATTAACTATGTAGTCTTGAGTAAATTATTTAACCACTCTGAGCTTGGATATAATGTATGTAAAGAAAAAAGGATAAAAATCCTTAGATGTGGGTAAGTAAGATTGTAAAAAAATCATGTGTAGAAATGGGTAAATGTCTGTAACACTTGGCATACTGATTGACAAAGATAGATACATTGCAAAAAATAATCATTCCCTTTACAATATTCTTTCCTTTGCTACGCAAGCACACAATAAATTTTTAATTCTCCCTGCCACAGCTCTTGACTACATGGAATATTCCAAAATACAAATTCTTTGGTGGATAACTTCTATGGGCTGTTCCCTGCCCATCACAGACACTCCGCACTGTACCCCTCACTCCCAAAATCCTTTTCCTCCCCTTACATGGGGATGACTATGATTTACCTTTGCAGCAAGTTTTATAGTGACTGATGCCACAAGGAGCTAGTAGATTCCTACTTCTAGATTCTTCCTCTTCTTCCTTCACTATCACTCTGCTTCCACAAAGTCTATATGTATTTGTATGTGTCTACAGTTGCCCACACATTTCCACTTATGTGATGAAACATGAGGCTGAGCTCTTTCAGTATTAACAGCTTAGTTCTAAACATCTGACTTTCTGCCAGTTTCCAATCAGTTCACCTTCTATTATTTCCAGGTGATTTTTGAAATACTTCACTGATTTCTGCAACATAGAAGTGATCACAGTTTTCATACAAGAATGCTTACCCTTGCTGCTTAGTGATCATGATGCACAACACTGACTCCACACATGAAGAAATACGTTTCACATTTACTTGGTTTAAATTTTCTGTGGCTGTCACACTGCACTGAGTTGATCATTCCTCAGAATTTTTATACTTTGCATATAATGTAACATGGTACTTCATATACATTAAAAACAAAGGGATTATTGTCTTCTTTCATAAAGAAACATATGTGGATATACACAGTGTGTAAATAAAAGGAGACAAAGAGAGCTCATTAAAAAATCAGTGGTACTATCATTGGAATACTTAATGTAACTCTTTCATTGCTTCTTGTCTCAAATCTTCTGCTCTTTTTAAAGAACTAGTTCCATGAAAAAATGCATTGTATGCAATGAAATTGACCACATACAATAAAAATGTTAATATATTAAAAACATTTCAACAACAGTAAAAATAATCCATCTGAAACCTTTAAATGTTGTATTATATCAATATCTATACATATATCCCTATACATATTATATATAGCATTATGCACACACACACACACACACACATAAGTAGTCTGTAATTTGAGGTCCCAACAAAGCTGCATTTTGCAAGAACTTTTTCAGAAATGATTTTTAACTACATTAACATAATTAAATCATACATCAACATAATTAAATTATTTAGTACATAAATCCTGAGTTGTGGCATTAATTTTCATAAATAAAGGTTATATAAAAATATTCCATAATTCATTAATCCTTTGGACAATCAGTGATTTATTCAGTCATTTATTCAATAAATGTTTCAGCAATATCTACATTATTCAAGTCATAATGTTCTTTAACAAATATTTAATTCTCTCAATTTTGAATTAAAAGTATTCAGTATTTATGAATATAGTCTATGTATGCAAAATAAAATAGCATAAACGGTACTATTACTTCTTGAAAAATAGTTGTGCTTTATTGCCATCTGCTATGCAATTTTGTATAATTACCACTTCCAAAGACTAAAGGTTAATGTGCATTAATGTGTTAGTCATTAATTCTATGGATGCTTAGTACACTGAAAGGTCAGTGAGAACCATATTCTCAGGGCTACTCTGTGGGGCCCACCAAAGGCCTAGTGTAGCAATGCTGCTGAACTTACAGGATTAATGAAGTGGAATTGTGGGTCCCATCACTTATTCCATGACCAGGAAGAAACATCTAGATGTTTTCAAAGCTAAAATATTTTGAAGGTCTCCTGACTCAAGTGATAGAGTATAAGTTCACACCCCTAGGCAATCACGTTGCTTACAGAGCAAAGATTCACTGTGTTTTACAGAAACAGGTTTGCTTGTGATGTGCTTAAGCTCACTTTCCCATAAATATCAAAAAGTAAATTATGTTCTTTTAATTATATACATACAGTCAGAATTTCAAGCATTAACACAGTTCAGTAAATATTTAATTTATTGATTAAAAATAATTTTATTTACTCATTCACAACAGATTAAAGCTGAACTAGACTTACCTGAATCTGTGGCTGTTATCACCAAGACAAAATGCTCCTTTGTCTCCCGGTCCAGACTCTGTGTCACTCTAAGTTCTCCACTGGCTGAGAGAGTAAAAGCTTGATCTTCATTACCACCACGAAGAACGTAGGAGAGTTTGCTATTAGATCCTTGATCATCATCTCTTGCCACCACCTGTAGGAGAGAATAGTTTATGCCATGGATGTGAGTAAACCTAACATAGTGCCCAACATAAAATAAAATGTATCAAATAAATATGAGGTTGAGCCATATTAAAATATTGCAAAGACACAGTTTAAAAAAGTAAAACTGATAAAGCATAGTATGTAAGGTACATATCTTTGAGTTAAAATATGCATAAAATGAAATCATACCATTTTTAGATGGCTTCATAAAAATTTTCAGTAGCATTTTCACCTAGCTAGGTGAATTTATAAAGAAATAAGGGACAATACTTGTAACAAAGTTTGGAGACTTTGATATTCTTTTATTTTACCACTTTGAGCAAATATTATTTTCATAGTAAAACAAAATTCCAAAATATAAAAATATATAAATAGCACAAAAATGTCACAAAAGAACATAATTAAAATAGAATATTTTAATCTATGATAAAATCAATACATTTTAGTCATACTGTTCATAAACTTTTTAAGATCTTCCCTATCTGCAATCAAATATTCGCCAGGAAAAATGAAGATTTGGGGTAGCCAAAGAGAGGCCTCTTAGATGTCTTGTAGTAAACAAAATATTTCTTATATTTAAATGTACTCACCTGAAGAATAGTTTTGGGAAGTGTCCCTAAATTCTCAGGGACATTTACCAAATATGGAGATAGCTCAAATGTGGGAACAAAGTCATTCATGTCCAGTAAAACAATGCTGACAGTGGAGGTATCAGTCCTTGGGGTGCTGCCCCGATCCGCAGCCTGAACAGTTAAAAGGTAAGTAGCAGTCTTCTCTCTGTCCAAAGGCTTCACCACAGTGATGACACCTGTGACAGAGTCCATCCGAAATTCCTGATTGGTACTGCCATCCACGATGCCATAGCGAACCTGTCCATTTGTACCTTCATCTCCATCTGCTGCAAACACCTGCAGTATGTCTGTTCCAGTCAGTGTGTCTTCGTTAATTTCCACTTTATACAAAGCCTGTGCAAAAACAGGATTGTTGTCATTGATGTCCAGCACCATGACTACAACCTCTGTGGATGAGGAGAGAGCTGGTTGACCCTTGTCTGTAGCCACTACCATTAAAGTGTAGTTAGAAACTTCTTCTCTGTCCAGTTCTCCAGTGAGCCTCACTTCGCCATCAATAGTGCCGATGCTGAACTTGTTTCCCAGAGGGTTCAGTAAAGTGTATTCAATATAGCTATTTGGGCCGCTGTCTGGGTCAGATGCTTGAGCCTTGAAAACAACAGTATCAATAGGTGTGTTTTCTGGAATGTACGTCAATTTAGGGGAAAGGAATGTTGGTGGGTTATCATTGACATCCAACAAAATGATGGAGACTTGAGCTGTGCTTGTGAATCTGGAGGCTGGAACCTGAGGCAGGTCATGCACCTGAACAACAAGGTTGTAGAAAGACTGACTTTCCCTGTCCAAAGCTTTCAGGACTTTCAGTACACCATTCTTGTCTACTGCAAACTGGGTCAAGCTGTCACCTGAAGCAATGCTGTAAGCCAACTGGGAATTGATGCCTGAAATTAGAGAAAAAAAATAAATAAATAAACTTACTGATTGCTGACTAAACTGCACCAACAATTTTGGCAAATATTGTATGTCTGATATATCTTGTGCCCTAAAAAGACTTCATGAATGATTTAGCTGTAGTTAATGGTTTGTTTGGTTTCTTTTAGTAAATAATACTTACAAATACCTCTTTTCCTATTAACTTTTGATCTGAGAAATCTACAATCGGGTGAACAACTGATGTATGCACTTCTTACTATTTACAAGAAAGGTGAAATGTTAAATTACAACAGTAAAGAGGAGACTAGTATTCCATAGAACAGATTTTTCTGTACATTTCTTTGTTTCTATAACAAACATTTCTTTGTTTCTGTAATTCCTCAAGGCCCTACACTAACAGTGCCACACTCTATACGACTGGCCCAACATTTATAACTTCAGTAATATATTGAGCCTGACATCAGTTTTCAGTGAAGAGTAATAAAATGTTCTGATGTATGGCATTAGTCATGGATGCTTTAAGTCTACTTTTACATTTCTTGTCAGAACCAATAAATACTTTTTAATTCCTATTAAGCATCTGGCCAGGAAATAGCCTTTGAGAAAATAGCTCTCCCTCAAGTTTTATTATATATATTTAAAGTTTTTACAAAGTATTATTTAAAAGAATTATTAGCAGTAAATTATATGTAAAAAAATATAATATTCATACTAAAATTAAGCTATATTTTTATAATATCTTTCTTTTCTAGAAATATGTGTCCTCTTTAAAAAAATCTAAATCTTCATTTCGGATAATAATTCCAGGGATTTGTATAACAAATGTGATGTGGTGAAAACATCAGCTTAAAGTAACTTAAAAATAAATAACAAGTAAGCAGTGAAAACAGAAAAAGTCAGATTTTCTGCTTCAGAATAGTGTTTCTTTCACTAATCTACAATGATATATACATTTTTTATAATTTATCTTGAAGATGTTGGGGATATTAAAGGATATTATGATACAAAACACATTGTGCATCTATACAGTCCATCCTTTGTAAAGATTTTACACTCGGACTGGAGAATATTTACTGAGTAACTTGAATTACTTACAAATAGATCATATATTTCTGAAGTTTACTTCAATTATTTAGGTTTCCAATTTTCACCTATCTGAAATGATGTCCACTCACTCTACATCAAGTATTCTAAAACAATTTAATTGATCTTTTATTTTTTGTGTTGAAGTTAGTCTTTCTCAGGATTCTATGAATAATTTTTTTCTATTGCTAATTTTATTCTTTTGCTTTTTCTTGAATCTCTTTAAGTTCCTTACAAACCACTGGAGTAATAGAAATTTCTTTTCTACCATTTAGGAAATATTCTTTATAATAATGCTACAATTATTCCTTTCCTGTGATTTGATGTTTTCTAATGACTTTTACCTATATATTGATTCAGAGGAAATATCTTTTTGAAGATAACTTTCAGGCACTAATTTACTGACCCAAAATTTCTACTTTTAAACAATGGATGTGTAGATCTTTGAAAAGGTAGTTTTTCTCCTCATTATGAATTGTGACCCTTAATCTTTACAATTTACTTAAAACCACACAGAAGTGAACAAGGCAGAACTTGTAAAATTCAGAATACATCAGAGCCTGATTACCCAAAAAAATATGAATAAACTATGCTAACAGGAGCCGTAGGTTGATTATCAGCAGGATAGAAGAATTTTAAGATATGGATAGAACAGGGTGAACAACCTGCTTCACCCCCTTGCATTAAAATTCAACTAGTAAAAAAGTTCCAAAATTCAGAGAGAGAGACAGAGAGAGAGACAAAGAGAGAGAGAGACAGAGAGACAGAGAGACAGAGAGACAGAGAGACAGAGAGAGAGACACAGAGAGAGAATTTTTCTTAGATATATGTGTGTGGGTGGAACTATTATATACAAACTATTTTTTATTACTTCCTAAGGATATTTTCTGCACTTCCTATGACAGAATCCAGTCACCAATGTTGAATCTTTATTCTTTTGAGACTCAAACTCCAGTATGATTTTTATTAAAAACATAGTAGTGAACATATCTGAATAAAAACAACACTCACAAGCAGAGATATAAATTATAGCTCTTTGAAGACATATGCAATTTTTTATGTCCAAGATTAGAAGCAACCAGAAATACTGAAAAATTTTCACATGGCAATGGAGTGATAGCCACATAAATCAATTGAAAAGTGAGCAATTAACTCAAGAGTCTGAACATCCTAGTTCACCAAGTATGCTACTTCCTTGAGTAAACAGCTAAATTGCAGGTGATACCGAGGTTTTATAGCCTTGCTTTCAACAGCAGAACAGCTCCTTTTATAAAGGGCAAAAGTTTGCTGGGATGTGTTGGTGGCCAAAGCAATAACCACAAAACTTTAACAAGAAATATGAATAAAGAAAAACTTGGTTTTGTATTCAATTTGTAGTAACAAATATATCAGGTAACAAAATTTTTAAAAACTTAAAATAACAATTTTTATCTTTCAGAAAAATGACAGATATAAGTATTTTTGCCCCAAATACCACAATTCTAATAAACAGCTCTTTTATCAGGAACTGAAACCTAACTGCTGAAATCATAGGCCTCTGAAGCATCTATATTTATTTTACTTTAAGAAAATGACTTTTCATTCCTGACAAGTTTAATAAGTGACTTTGGGCATGTGTCTTACATCTTGAAAATATACACGGACATATCAAAACAAAATTCTCTCGCAACATTTGTAGTATCCTGAAAAATGCAAAGCTTGGATCATTTTTCTCTTTCTGCTCTTTGCATCAAATATCTGATTCATAAAACAGTAAATACAGTAATTTTTAAAAATGTTATCCACAAGTGTTGAAAATTGAATTTAGTGGGCTTTTATGGACCACCAGACCCATAAACTGAAAACAGTCCACATTTTGAAGGATTTTTGTTCAATTTTCAAAAATTAATTTAGTTCCATGATTCTTCTTGGCAGGTTCATTGTTTTATATGTGTGTGCATATGTAAAATATATATATATATATATATATATATATATATATATTTGCATTTAGTGGTAATACTTTAGTTGTAATGAGCAAAACACATAAGGTATGTAAATATATAAAATATGAATGAAATATATTTTAAAACTATAAAGCTCTATTTTTAAAATGTGTGCATTTATTAAATGCACAATCCATTAGTGTCATCTTATGATTTCTGTAAAGAACTAATATCTATAAACCTCACATAGCTGCAATACATTGAAACATTTCACATAGCATTCATCTTCATGAAGCAGTTTCAACAAAGCCATCAAAACACTAGAATTTGGAACCCATTCAAGTTATCTATGCTTGGCACCAAGCATATATGGGTATAAATCTTCAGAAAAAATTACAACTATCATAAATTTGATCATAAATTAAAACATTCTCATATGACTCCCAGTATATGTGAATATTTTAAATGTGTATGCTTTCTAGAATAATTAAATGATTTTCCGAGGATATTTTCATGATGTTTCAATTTATAGTTCTCTTAATATATAATTCTTTTTAATTTTATACATAGAAGCTTAATGATTCATACAGCAATATATAGCTGTATGAAAACAGTGAAAGGATTGCTTTATTCCTATGAAGTGATTGTGTAATCTAAAATCTTAAACACTGAGATAATCTGCATACAGATAAAAGAAAATGTTAAATTTATTTTCATATGAAATATCTTCATCGAAAAAGATGACAGTATTATCTCATTGGGAAAGTTTTGATCAGGGACTAAAATTATCTTATTAATTTATGAATGTCTAAAATGCACTATGAAATATCTGTGAAACTATTTAGAATAACGGAGTTGGGAATTTTAACAAACAAAATTGCTTTATCATTATCCTTGAAATTTAGAAAGAATAGGAACTGTGTCCCATATTTTAGGTCAAGGTTCAGGAAATTACATTGATAAAAGTATTCAGAACTAAAACAATGGGTAAATTTAGCTTGAAACTTTTACCCAGCACAATTCAAAGAAAAAAAATGCTTGAAAAATGACAGTCAATAGGTACCATATGTTTCCGACTGCATGCACATGGAATAGTCCAGATTTTTGAAAAGAAAATTTTGTTTTTTGCTCTTTTCCAAGTGCCCCTATATTTTAAATTATGAGTGTAAAAGATGGTTTTTTTTCCAAAGAACCACATAACTTTATTAAACAACAGACCTTCCCTAATATGTTATAAATAAATTACAAAGATACAAGGTAGAAAATTCTTTGCCGCTGAGAAGTTAATCAAATCCACAGAAACAAAAAATTTAAGAATCTATACAAGGTATTGCAAATATTCATATTCTGGGTAAACTAAAACTTATGACAAAAGAGTAATCAACTTGCAAAATAGAGATTAATCTCAATTGTGTGCAGCATAATTGTTATTAGTAAAAGTTGTAGTCAAGGCCCAGGGATTTAGTTCAGTAGTTCTGCCACCTGCCTCTCAAGCGCAAGGTCCTGAGTTCAGTCCCTGGTACCAAAAAAAAAAGTTGTAATCAAAGTAGTAGTAGTAGTAGTGTTAGAGCTACATGTATTTTAGATATATTCAGAAGTCTAATTTTAACTTTTTTTTTTTGGTACCCGGGATCAAACTCAGGACTTTGTGCTTGAAAGGCAGGCACGGTGCCACTGAGCTAAAGCCTCAACCCCAATTTTGACAAGAGAAAGAAACTTCAAAATATACTAACTCATAAATTATAAGCAAAGCATTTCCAATTCTATTTAATGGGACATATATTTAAAAACTTATGCATTTTCTCATATCTTTCTGTATCATTTCTAGACACCCCTGAAAGGGAACTAAGTGTAGAATAGAATGAATGTTGAGATAGAATACTATTCTGATATTATACAAATGATCCATACCAGTAAGAATCAGGGAATTCCAAATCAAGATTAATATATCTATGTCCTGAAGCATTTGCTTGAGCTAGACATCTACTTCCTCTTCAAAATACTCTGTTTTGTTTTCTCTACAGACAGGACATTTAGCTGCATCCAATGGAAAGGAAAACATGGTACACTAACTTGCCAAAGAATTGAGTTAAACACTGGTGGTCCTCACAATGTTATCTGTAATGCTACATTATCTGATACCTGTATTTACAAAAGAGGCTTAAGAAGAGAGAATAAGAAAGTGAGCTTTTAAAAGAGAGTTTATCAGATGTTTTTACAATGAACACAAATTAAATTCTTAAACTGTATATAGAAAGATTTAATACAAAATCTTGACTTCATTATATAGCATGAGTTAATGAGGTCTGAGACTATCTTTTATAAGTCAAAGCATGAAAGCTTACTAAAATATTATCAGGAAGTTTGTCCTAAAGTATAAAATTTACTTACACATTCTTCAGTATTTCTCTTTAAGGTTTTTGTTTCCTTTTGCTTTCAAATTTTACCCTTCTTAAGTTAAAATATTATATGTAAACTTAATAGTTTAATTACATAAAAAAATTATCAGAATTCTGTCTTTTAACTTTTACATTACTGAACTGCAATACTACCACATTTAGGCAAAACTATAATAAGATAGTTTTTTTAAATAATGCAATGCTTGTTGTCTGTTATAATTTAATTGATAAACACTTATTTTTTTGAATCTTAATAGTTAAATTATCATTCTGTTTCTCAACTTTGGACATGTATTCACAAAATGAAATTTTCTAAAAGCTGGACGAAAGGGAATAAATGAACTTTTAAAAGTATTCTAAATGAATTACATACCGTCATCTGCATCAGTAACATTAAACAGAAGAACAGTAGATCCTACAGGCAGATTTTCCATTAAAGATGTGCTGTATGAATTCAAGCTGAAAATAGGTGGATTATCATTTACATCTAGTATGTTGAAATAAACTCTGATGGTAGTAAATTGTCCTCCACCATCTTCAGCTCGAACACTGAGGATATAATATTGCTGTGCTTCATAATCTAATACTCGAGTCAAATTAAACACTCCAGTAACTGGATTCAGGAAAAATATGCCATCTTGATCATCTTCATTCACAATATATGTAATTTCTCCATTCACACCAGAGTCATCATCTGTAGCTAAGATGGCTGCTACCAAAGAACCTATCAAACAGAACACAAAGTCTAAAATGAATGGAATAATAGGGACTAGTAGGTGAACATATACAGACATAGCAAGAAAGTATTTGTACAGAATATCAATGCACATAATATTCACTAAGTTTCTATATAAGACATTGATATCAACATTCCCTCATAACAATAAAACATATGTTATACTGGATATCCGGTGGATCTGAGGTTACAATGTGAATGTTCTGGGGAATTAATCTTTCTGATATTTTTCCACCTGATACTACTTATTGTAAAATTTATTTATTAATTTAGTGAGCAAATATTGTAACCCATTACTATTGAGAGCACCTGGGGATTCTAAGCATTAATATAGGTGCATGTGGGGGCCAGGGATTTAGCTCAGTGGTTCTTCTACCTGCCTCACAAGCCCAAGGATCCGAGTTCGATCCCCAGTACCAAAAAAAAAAACATATATGTGTGTGTGTGTGTGTGTGTGTTCATGTTCTGATCATAACACTCTATAGCTCATGTGGTCACTGCTATAATTAAGGACAGGTAAGTCTCTTGGGGAATGAAGGAAATTTTGCAGGGAAAAGTAGTCCTCTGTAAGCGTTAAACTCTTGTCAAATGGAGTTCCCAAACACATACTGTATTATGCAAACTCATTCCAAATGTAAGTCAGGATAAGATTTTAATTTTTAGTTAAGAGTTTGTACTTATGAAAATGAAATATACACAAACACTAGGTGTATGGTCATTGAGTATAGAAACTCAACAATTACAACATACACTATTGTTAAAGTTAAAAGATTACAATTCAAAACTCACACTCAATTAACATTTATTGAGTACCTGCTAATCTCCAAGCCCCATGCTACTAAAACTTACATCTGGTTTTTAAGTTAACCTTTACCGTAATTATAACAGAAATTATTGTTTCCATTTCACAGAAGGAATTGAAGCTAAGAAAAAGTAATTAGTTTCCCATGGGTCATACAGCTATCAGTGTCAGAATCAATGATCACAGTTTTTTTATGTACTTTTCTTTGCTCTTTCTATACACAGAAATACAATCCAATTAGATATTTTTAAAATGAAAAGTGTATCAAATCTGTGGCTGTCAAAAAAAAATTAACAACCCATGTCACAAATACTTTCAGAGACAGAAATATCTGTAATTAGTAATCAGATAATGACTAACCTCATTTTTTCTCAAATTAGCTATTTGCTTTGAAACTGTACTACAGATTTTAATTGATTCAAAAATCTAACACATATATTTTATAACCAGTAGCATGTGGTAAACACTAGTCACTAATGAAGAACAGCCAAAAAAAAAAAAAAAAAGAACTGCCAAAACATTGTACATAATTGCAGTTAAAAGTTATTCTTACAAGATACACGATACATTTAAGGGTATGTCACCTACCAGGAGTTGTGTCTTCTGGGATGTCGAAAGAGTACACAGGCCTGGAGAATTTGGGTGTGTGGTCATTCACATCACTGATGGTTATATTAATTCTCATGTCTGAGGACTGCAGACCGTCATCTGCTCGAACCAGCAATGAATATTTGGACCGCCGTTCCCTGTCCAACCGTTTGGTTGCTATTAGATCTCCAGATTCAGGGTCAATTCGGAAACTATCATCAGCTCCACTAATGATAGCATATGTGACGAGAGCATTTGCACCCTAAGGAAAGAGACCAGGCATCTGAACTGTTGCAAGTCAAACAATAAAAGCATTGTTCCTCATATTTTCTGTTAAACATATATTTGACAAAGTGAGGCTTTTGGCTTTAATTTACATAGTACTATAAAATTTCAAAAAGTAAAGGACATACATCTAATGAAGGAGTTGAAAGGTTTCTACACTGAAAATTATAAAACACTGATGAAATAAATTAAAGAAGAATCCCAAGTGGAAAGATTTATCCAGTGGCGGTGAACCTATTGCACGCATGCCACAAGGGCTGTTTGTATCATTTGAAAGGCTCACCATCCCTAATAGGTACTCATGAATTGGAAGACTTAATATTATTAAAATATCTCTACTACTCAAAACAATTTACAAATTCAAATCAATCTTTATCAAAATTCTAATGAAATTTCATTTCAGGAATAGAAAAGAAAACTAACTTTCATAAAGAACCACAAAGGACTCGTAAATACTGTAAACAATTTTGACAAAGAATAAAGCTAGAGTCATCACACTTTCTAACTTCAAAATATACTACAAAGCTACAGTAATTGAAATAGTATTGTACTACATCAAGGAAGATATATTGACTAATAGAACAGAGTACAAAGCCCAGAAGTAAATTTACTCATAAGAGCCAACTGATCTTTAACAAAGGTACCAAGAATTGGGAAAGAAAAGTTTCTTTGCCAAACGGTGTTGTGAAAACTTGAAAACCTCCAAAAAGAAAATGAAATTGGATCCTCATTTTACACTGACACAAATGTCAACTCAAAATAGATTAAGGACCTAAACATAAGACCTGAAACTATAAAACTCCTAGAGGAAAACACCAAAGAAGGCTTCTTCCCCCTATGGCACTGGTGTTGGCAGTGATTTCATGCATATGACACCAAAAGCAAAGGCAATAAAAACAAAAATAAATAAGATTTTATTAAACAAAAAAACTTAGGCAAAGTATAGAAAATAATCATCTAAATGAAGAAGCAACTATGGAAAGGGAGAAAATATTTGCAACTATGCATCACAAACAGTATTAATTTCCAAAATTAATCAAAATATGCTAAAACTCAATAGCAAATAAATTTCAGCAGGTAAGAGCTGAAAAAGACATGTCTCCAAAGAGAATGTAAAGTGAATGATGGATATTTCAAGAAATACTCAATGTTATGAATGCTCAGTGAAATAAAAATCAAAACCACCTAATACATCACTTCAAATCTTTTTGGACAGCTATGATAAAAAAATAGCAAATATCTGGAACATTATTCTCCCTTGGTGTGGAAAACATGATGATGGATCCTCAAACAATTACAAATAGAAACACCATATGATTCAGTAACCTCTCTTCTAGATATTTATGCAAAATAATTGAAATTAGTATCTCAGAGATATTAACATTCCCGTGTTTACTAAATTCACACTAGTCAAGATTCAGAAACAATCTAAGTACCTATCAACAAATGAATTAAGCACAATGAGGCCATACTCTTAAGTAAAATAAATAGGACACACATGTGTAAATACCAAATAGTTTCTCTAGCATGAAAAACTAAAAGTGTAAATAAGGATTAAAATGTATAATTGAGATTGTGAAATAGGAAGAAAATGTCTAAAGGAGTAGGAGAAGTGGGAGGGGTAGGGGAAAGGAAAGAAGGAAAAAGAAAAAATACGAGAAAAGGAAAAAATGGAAACAAAGTCTTTGCAAATAGGAAAGGGTGGAGGGGGTGAAGGGAGGACAGGGCAAGGGGGAAAAAATAAGAACCATGATACATCATATAACGGTACAAGTTCTCCAAGATAAGTGTAAATGTATTGTATACCTAAAATGTATCAATAAAAGAATTTAAGGAAAAAAAACCCAAATGAATAAAGAAAATGTGGTATAAACATACAATGGAATATTATTCAGCTTTACAAAAGGAAATCCTGTTATATTATACAATATGGATAAACCTTAAGGACAACATGTTAAATGAAATAAGCTAGTCACAAAGGACAAGTATTTCATGATTTCACATATACGAGGCATATACAAAAATCTTATTACAGAGATGAAGTGATTTTTAGGGCTCAGGGTGGCAGAAAAGAGGAGTTTCTAATCAATGTGTAGGAATCTTCAGTTATACAAGAAGAATAAATTCTAGAGATCTGTTATCCTATATTTGCCTGAAGATAATAACATTGTATTACACACTGAAAAAACCTGTTAAGAGGATAGATCTCATACTAATTGTCCCTATCGAAATAAAATGAAATGAAAAGGTAATGAGTTCAATATATTACACAGTCTCTCATTGTTTGGTCTCTTAACCATTCTCAGTTTTCATTTTCAGTCTTTTAATTCATTAAATATACACATAGAAAGGCATAAAGTTGTCATTGTGGAAACCTGAGTGATGATACTATTACTACTACTTCCCACAGTACCAGAAGTTTACTAAAGCTTTGTCCTGTGCCAAGCACTGTGAGCACCATTAGATATGCATTATTTCACTCCAGTTCACAACTCCACAGTGGGTTCTGAGATGCCAATTAGCTTATGCACAACTGTGCTCTAAACATCAGTGTGGATTCCAAACCTACATCTGCCAGACCAAACTTGTGATCCTCTGAGACAGCATGAAGCTAATTAAACACAAGGCAAGTGCTAAGTGGAGGAGCCTCACAATAAGCACCGAAAGGACCTAGAAGAGAAATGAACCATTTGGAGTTGGTTTATTTATGGAAGATAAAGTAGAAAGAGTGAATTGGGATTTATGAAAGGGAATTTTTGTTAAACATAGAGACAAAGTACAAACATAAAGTGAGGTGAAAGTACAAAGGACAGGAGACTTGGGTGCTGGGTCTAGTCTGTGTTAAACAGTTTAGACTGGAGTGTTTTAATCTACAACAACAATAAAAAAAGAATGAAGAACGTTAGGCTAAAATATTAGATTGTGGATATATTTTGGTTTGAATTCTATGGTCAAGAAACCTTATCTTTATTTTTTAAACTGGAAGCAACCTTTTAAGAATATTGATACTGTAGAGTAAACTAGCCTAAGAAGACAGAAATGAGACAGGTGAGAAGAACATGAATCCAAGACACTTTATTTTTCCAAAACTAATGAAATAAATTGGTAAAACAATTTCTAAGTTCCTATTCTGAAAATTAAAAGCAGAGGTGACTTCTTGAGTCCTTTCAGGTCATTAAGTAGGATCCTCAAAACTATGAATCACAAACTAGAAAGTTGACAAAGGGAGTGGAACATTCGTTCATTGTTTACCAGGCCCTAAGCACTGTCCTGAGCACATCACTTGAAGGGAACTAATTATTCAATTCTTGTAGGTAAGCCAGTTAGTTAGGGACTATTATTATCCCCACTTTGAATGTAGAGATCCTGAGAAATGTGAAATGTGAATCCTAGCTCTCTTGCTGTAGATCTTGGTCATTGAATCCTGTACCCAGCATAACAGAACTAAACAGTAAGATTAATAGATTAATGGATATAGCAATGAAAATAGTAATAGATCTCATTTGTTCAAAATCTCCGTATATACTCTCATTTACTTTTTTAACAAACCTAGGTAATTGTAAAAGTGAATGAAAAGGAAAAACAGTGTATTTAAATTTCAGATTACTGTGGCCAGAGTTAGGAGGATTTGCTTATTAAAGACATTCAGGATTAGGATCTGTTTTGAGGAAGAACATGAAGTGAAATTTTATTTGCAATACATTCAATAATTACTTAATTGTAAGACAAATATTGTTAAGTATTTTCTTGAGTGTTGATTAAGCAGTTATATATCTTTTGAGCTGGTGTTTTTCATGGAAATACTTTATTTTTCTGTCTATTTTGGAGTTTAGCTTTGCTACATAAACTAATCTGGCTTGGAAATTATTTGTTTTTAGTGCTTGAAATATTTCACTCCAAGCTCTTCTGGCCTTTAGGGCCTGTGTTGAGAAGTCTGCTATGTTTGCAATTGGTTTCCTTTATATGTGTTTTTGTTTGTTTGTTTGTTTGTTCGTTTTTCTCTGACTGCTTTTAAAATTCTGGGTGGTTTTATATTTTTGCTGTCCATCTGATAAAGTAATAAGGGCATGCTTTGGTGAGCTTTTTAAATTAAATTTGTGTAGTGCTCTATAAGTATTGCTTACTTGTATTTTAAACTCATATTCAGAAATTTTCTTCTGTGATTTCTGTAATCATGTTAGTAAATCCATCAAAGATTTTACACAGCAAAGAAATCAACTAGTAGAGTGAAAGACAACCTACAGATTGGGAAAAAAAAGTTCCCAGCTACTCCTCAGAGGACTAATATCTAGAACATATAAAGAACTCAAAAAAATTAAACCACTTAAAATTAAAGGCCCTGTCAAGAAAGGGCAAGAGAATGAGCAGACACTTCAGAGAGAAAAAATATAAAATATTCAGTATCTTGGGCCATTAGAGAAATGGACATTAAAACAATGCTAAGATTTCATCTTATTCAGAAAAGAATGACAATCATTAAGAAATCAAACAATAACAAATGCTGGTGAGGCTGTGGTGAAAAAGGACCCCTCCATTGTTTATTGAAATGTAAACTAGTATAAACACTATGGAAATAAGCATGGAGATTTCTCAAGTAACTGAAATTAGAAATTCCATATGACGCAGCTATTCTCTTTTTAAGTATTTTCTCCAAAGAGTTTAAGATATCCTACTACAGTGAAACATAAATACCAATGTTCATAGAAGCATAATTTGTAATAGCTAAATCTTGAAAGCAGCCTGTATGCCCATCAACAGATGATTGGATAAAGAAAATGTGATATCCATCTATCTATAATACTCAGCTATGAAAAATGATAAATTTGAGATATTTCTAAGAAAAAATGGATGCACTTTTAAAATATAATGTTGAGTGAAATTAACCAGACACACAAGCTTAAATACCGTATGGTATCTCTAATTTTTGTGAGGCATAGTACAAACAAAGAGAATAATAAAGGATGAATTGAAAGGTAT